AGCACAGCTAATGTACATTACGCGTAAAGACTGGAATTTTCTTGAAACACACCTGGAAAAGTCGGGGAATTTCTTTCTCCTGTTTGAGTGGCAACTCTGTGTTAAAGATTCCAAAGTTAGATTAACAATTTTAGCATGCGCAAATGCTGCAGGAATGCACAAGTGAAAACTTTTCATAATCTGTAAAAATACATGACCTCAAGCATTTTAAAGGAGTAAGAAATTTTCCCATTATTTTTCATGGAAATAAAAGAGCACGGATGATACAAGCGTTAATGTATAATTGGGTTGAAAATCATTTCATACCTGAGGCTCAGCAAAATTTGAATTCGGTTGGTTTACCTTATGATGCAAAAATTGTTCTGTTTGTAGATAACTGCTCAGCTCGTATTTTACTTAAAAGTTTTAAAGAAAGGTAATGTATCTGTGTTATTCATTCCTCCAAACTGTACGAACATCATTCAGCCTATGAATATCAGAATAGAGCGCAATGCTGAAATGCAGATATAAAGTAACATTTTAAAAATCTAGGTTAAATTTCTTGAATACTGGCATGAGTATTAAAAAATTAAAAAAAAAATTAACATAAAATCTGCTGTGTGGAGCAGCATCGCAAGATCATGGGAGGATGTGTCTCCAGATGCTTTAAAAAATGCTTGGCATAATTTATGGCCAGCTACCATATCTGATGGTGATGATGATGATGATGATGAAGATGATAGCCACAAATTTGAAGGCTTTTGGATATCACAAGCCACAGTTGAAATTTTCCAATTAATAGATTTTGTAAAGAAATGTGGAGAAGCGGTAATAAATGAAGATAATATAACAGAAGTTTTTCATTGTGATGACAATGTTCCAATCATCAATGAATTAACGGACAGGAAAATCCGTAGTATGGTTCTAGATCGCATACCTGCCAACTTTTACGAATTTTTTGTAATTTTTACGAAAATGCGTTTGTCTTTACGATTTTACGATAGTATTCCATTTTTTACGATTTTTTCCCTTTTTCAAGTGTTTTTAGTAATTTTTGTTGAAATTTTAGAATTTAGCGAATTTAGCGATTTTCGCCAATTGCATCATGTTTTACCGCCAACTACCGACTACTTTGAATCCAGTAACCTGCGGTTTCTCCCAACTCGCCGCTTAACCAGCCAATCCAATGCGCTGAACTTGTTTCTCCCACTCTTTTCTTTGTGGGCGCCAGATTATTTTTTTCGCGTTTGCTTCAGCAGCAAGGCAATTACTCAGCGAGCGTGGATTGTCGCATGTCGCATTCTGTTTTTTTTTTTTTTTCACATGCTACGAATTTTCTTAATACGTCGTTGTTACAAAATGAGTTAAAAAAAAAGTATTTTCAATATTTTCGGCTTGCCTACAAAGCCAAATTTCTAACAATTAAAGAATCCTTCAAAGGAAATAACTATGCATTTTGCAACGTGTGCGTGTGTGACTTCATAATAAGTCACGGTAGAAGAAGCGACATTGTGAAGCATGTTAAGCCTAAAAAGCCTGAAGTTAATGCTTCGGCTTCGACAACGTCAAAGAAAGTGGATGATTTTTTTTCAAATTTGGCTACGAATTCGGATGCCGATGTCATTTTGGCAGAGTGTTTGTTTACTGCATTCCTCATCGAACACAACGTGCCGCTAAGTGCTGCCGATCACGCCGGTCAACCTTTCAGACGGATGTTTCCTGACTCCAAGATTGCTCAGAAATATGCTTGTGCGCGCGCGAAAACGTATTCTATTGTGAACGAAATTGCGTGCGATGCACAAAGTAAAACGATAGCTGCACTCTAGAATTCAGCATTTTCAGTGTCAATCGACGGCAGATGGTAAAATCTCCCCTCTTTATCCAAATTCTTAATGATCTTTTGAAAGAACTTTATACTAAGTTTGTAAAACCGTCCATTGTGAAAAACAGTGTGTTGATTCGTGTTGCCTATAATAGTTTGGCAAATAAAAAGGATGACAATGATCTTATAATTGGAAATCAAACCAGGGAACTTGTAAATTCTTTGAAAGATCATGAGAAAAAAGAATTTTTTCAATGTGTTAGAAAGTACTTTTCCTCAGCCTGTGATTACATTGTAAGGAAGTTTCCTTCGCAAAATGAAGTTCTTTTAAATGCTGTAGTGGCAAATTTGAAACAAATTGAAAATTCATCTTTTGAAAAGATTCGATTTTTTATTGATAAATTTCCATTTTTGTTTACAAATAAAGAAAATGAATGCCATAATGATGCTTTAGATGAACTACAGAACCACTTTTCTGCTGCACAGTTTTAAGACTTTGACAGTTCTGGAGAAGATAGACTTGATGTCCTCGTTGGTACCTTAAAAAGAATAAAAAGAGCTGATGGAACACCAAAATATGATAGACTAGCAAGAGTTTTATGTGCTATTCTCATAATTCCACACAATAATGCTGAGTGCGAGAGAGTCTTCAGTGTTGTTAAGAAAAACAAAACTATGTTTCGTTCTTCAATTTCACCACAAACTCTAGAAAACATTTTAATTGCTAAATGTTATGAGGAAACTAATTGTTATGACAGGTAATTTTCCAAAGAATTTTTGGCTAAAGCCAAAAAATGCACTCTAAATTCATTGCAATAATTTTTTTGTGTAACATTAAGTTCTTGTTGTATGTTTCCTAATAAATTTTTTAGTTACTGCTTAATTGAGATTTACTAATGTAAGTAGAATTTTCTTTTTTCTATTTGTATAAATTGTCATTTTTTTAATATCAAAGCATGATATTAATTCTTCATGTTCTTCTGAATTTTGGAGAAATCTTCTGAATTTTTTATCTTTAGAGGTTGGCAGGTATGAGATCGAGAAAATACTGCTCTTAGTGAAGGAAGTGAAGGAGAGGTTATTGAATGAAAAATTTTCAATTGACAACTTCCATGCAGCAACTACAGGACTTGAAGAATGGAACTTTGTAACTGAACAAAAAATTATGTCTGTCAATAGAATTGAAGAGAAAGTATTAGCACAAAAAAAAAAAAAAAAAGAAAGCAACTTGCAGTTTACATTCGAAGAAATGTTTAATAAAGTAAACAAATTAGTATTAAGCTTTTTTTGTAAATTTAGACACCGTTTAGATCATAACTGCTTCATTATTTCATAAATCATGATTTTATATTTCTAATTTTATAATTTTTACATGTCATCTTATTAGATTTAGACTGATGATCCGGAAAAATTCCAAATCCGATGAATCTAAATCTCAGACTTTGTACTGTATATCTTCATATCCTTGTCTTCAGTGCATTTTTAAAACTTTCTAGAATATTATAAATTTGTGCGTCTTAATAGTGCAGCATGAAGTAACTGTGACTGGAAGTTTAGCAGTCTGGATTACTTGAATGGTGTTGAGAAATGTATGATTTTTGCTTCCAAAGATGTTATTTATGTAAATATAAATTCAATTCCAATTTTTTTTTACATTTGCTGCAAAACTCTAAAATAAAAACTGCCAGGTTGAAGTGCTCATTTAATACTTCAATTATCTTGTTTATTTTACTTTTCTGATTTGTCTGGGTAGAAAATGGAGAGATAATACAGATTTCAAACTTTGTGTTGAAATTAATTATTTTTTAACTGACAATTTTCTTTTTTTGCTATAAACAGAGAAACCAAGAGCATAGTTTTAAAATAATGTTTTAAGGATATTCCCATTTGCATAATTATATCTAGAAAGGTAAGGAATACTATAAGAAAGCTTCATTTTATTTTAAAGTTCCAGAAGTTCTAATTAGTGTCAAATCTCACTGTTTTTGTCTGCCTCACTTTTCAAAATGTTTCCGCTAAATGTTATCAAGGTATTATTTTTAAAGAAATTTATAATGAATACCAAAAAATATATGGCAGCACAAATAAAAGGATTTTGCCACTAAATAGTATTGCCATATTTTTTAAAATATAATATAGTTAATATAAAAAATGTATGGCAACATTGAACACTTATCTGGAAATTTAAGATACCTGATATGAAATATTTTTAACACATTCTAAATTTAATCTTCGTATTATTGATTAACAAACTAGGGGGATTTAAAAGCAATAAATGAGGTTCTTGAACTCTTTAGAATCGAGCTATACTTATGAAATTAACATGAGCTTGATTTATTAAAAGCATTATACATTTTTATAGCATTATGTATTATAGTAACTATTTTAATTGCCTGCCCATGCCAGCATCTAGTTATTTCAAACGTGAAATAGAAAACAAAAGTTTGATGCAAAAATGAGGTTGAAAAAATAGCTTTTCTGACTAAAAAATGTATGGCAATACATAATTTTGCAACTGAAATTCTAAAGGTATGCTGTTAAAAAAAAAAAAAATTCCTGTTGAATTTTTTGTGGTGTAAGGGTGAAGAAATTGGTGTTTTGTAACAGTTATATATATTTCCAAAAGCAGTGAGCTTAAAGGGTGCATAAAAATCCTAACTGAAACTGCTAGTGCAATGTTAAAATCTGAATCCTTTTATATTTTTTGAACTGGTGTGTAGAGACTGTGAGGATTAGATATATTTTGAATTCCTTTGTAGAATCATGAACATGCTTTTGCTACTGTAGATGAGCATTTCAAAGGCCCTTGATTCCATTGTGATTAAAAAAAAAAAAAAAATAAGTTCTGTATATTGTAATTAAAAAATTCAAATCATAAAACTTCTAAGCAATGAATTATACATGATGCTGAGCTTAGACTGAAGCAGGGAAATTAGTTCATATTTGCTTTTTATCTGTTATTTCATGTCTTTTTTTGGGGATATCATGAAACTTGCCTGATATGTGTGTGCAGTTAATGAGTTGAGATGTGTATAATTTTAATATGTAATTGCAGATTAGTTTTTATGAGACATGAATAAAAACCCTTTAAAATATTTTTGGTTTTTCTAGAATGTATTTTGGCTTTAAATTTTTATCATGCAGTTTCGGGAATTACTTTTATTGAAGTTGAGCTGAAGTTTTTTTTTTCTCTTATCAGGTGTATGGTGAAACATCTTTTGAATTTATTACCCAGATGATTGGAGAATTAGATATCACTGAAGATGATATCTTTATTGACCTTGGAAGTGGTAAGATTTGGCAAACCTTTAGTTGTGGTTCCCATGTATTTAATCGAATGTAGTTAAATGTTTTGTTCATAATATGCAGGGAGTGTTATTTTTAAGTAATTCATATATTATAATGAGTTTTCTGAATATTTTCATTTTAAAATGGGCATAATAATGGCTTTAATAATGATGATGCTGTACTGAAAGGTTTTACTGTGTTAAGACACAATTAATTTGAATTCCAGGAGTGTAGAAATATTCACGTTTACCTTATCTGGTTTCATTAAGAACTAATTTTGAAATGCTATGATATTTTTTGGTAATTTCTGTTGAGGTTTAGACTTTCATGCTTTGTGAGAATCAAATGATTTGCAAAAGAAATATTTTCATTTGCCTTCTCCTGTTTATCTTTGTGTAACACAGAAAATCTTTGACATTTACTTATGAGAGTAAAAATATGATCTTCATTTTCAAGAGACTGACTTGTTTCATGTAACTTCTTTGTTATTTTGTGTCATTTGAAGTTTTCGTCTTTTAGGTTCTGCCATGCAGCCTAAACGTCTTAAATGTTAATATAAATGTAGTAATGTTTTGAAACAAGTAAAAAACTAACCCCTTCCACAGAATTATTTTCTGCTGTGCCATTAAGATGAGGAATGGTTGTGTAAGTTGTCTCCAGTCATGTAGACCATAAAAGGAGTGCATTGCTGTGTTTGCCAGACCAGTGCGATGAAAGTTTCCCCCACCCCAAATATTTATAAAGAGCTTTGAGATGAAAATTTGCCACATCCACTCCTGAAGTAAGTTACAGAGAATCAGAGTCTTCAAAAAGGAACTCAGGACTTCTTCCCAGTCAGTTCTGTAATGATGTTTTGCTGATGTGCATTGATGCTGGATTTAACAAGTCTCTTAACACTAAGTAAACCAGCAAGACATGGTTCAGATAAGTCAAAACCAGCTTTAATGAGACCATACCTCAGATCATTTCCAATAATGCTGTAATGGCCAGGGATTCATCTGCTTTCCAAAAGAGAGTGAAGAACAATCTGGCAGTTATATATTATTTTTTACCATTAAGGTATGTAGAAGAAAGGACTTTAATGGTAACTGGGAATCAGTAAAGATTGACAATAAAATTTTGGTTCCATTTTCTTAGCAGCTGATGAAATACACATTTTACTATCAAAGTTATTGCAGAATTTATTGAGAGCTCTGCTGGGAGTAAAATGGTTTGAATATACTCCAGCTTTAGCATTTTTAAAGGCATCCACAACAGAATTAACCATATAAACATGCAGCCACTTTACAAAAGAATATTTTGTTGGTTATAGAAAAAATAGCCATGTTGAGCTCTGTATCTGAAAAATTTGTTCCTCATAGGGAAAACCAGGTTTAGATTATTGTTGGCTCTATTAATATGTATATGATAGATGATTGACTTAAATAGGATTTCTGTCAAGGACAGGCACATCAAATTTGACTGCTAATTGTTTTTGCCAAATCCAGGTATATATGTTGGACAAAAAGCATCATGTCTCAAAAATTTTTAAAAATTGTTTCAATGTAGATCTTTGTTTGACAAATGGTTGCAGACCAGTCTGAAGTTATGTGTCTGGTTGGCATGGAATCAGCACCTAAAAATTTCCAATTCTTCTGGAGGCTTTCAGAAATCTGCAGCTGAGCTTTATCTAACAGTGTAAAGACTTAAAAGGATAGGCCTGATTTCTTAAGATTTCTAGTTTTAAATAATGTAATGTTTCTATCTCGTGGTCTTCAAATCTCCCATTCGTTAGAAGTATTAAGATTTAGAAAGAATTGTGATCCATTTATTGCATTGTGGAAATCATTTTGTGCAGAGAGTATCTATTTTGATATATTTTAAAGCTAAATAATGCTAGGAAGACATTGCAGTTATTAATGACATCTTAGGTCATTAGTTGCTGTGTCATCACAACATTTTTCATTGCCCTAACAACATTTTAAAAATTTTCAGTTTCCTGTGTGGAAGTCTTTATCCAGTGATATAATTCATTTTTTTAAGAAGCTTGTGAGCTTTCAAAACCAGTTTTATTGATTTGTACAGCTGAACTTTCCAGATTTAAACATACAAGTTTTCCTCTCATTAACAGTGTAAGCTTATGTGAGTTGTTCATATTTAATTTCACTCATGTTTCTGTTTCTTTGTTATATCTGCTATTCATTACATTATTTACTTTTAAATGCAAGCATTTTATTTAGCTGCTTTTTTTTTTTTTTTTTTTTTTTTTTTTTTTTGTGGACTTGTTTTGTCTGTGTGAGAAACATTTTATGTTTGTGTTCTGTAATTCTTACAGCAAGTTGTTAGTTGTTAATGTAATAGTTTACTTCAGAAGGAAGTGACTTAGTGCAAGATGTGTGATGTAGTTTCAAGAAACGGGCAAATTTCCATGTTTTTGCGAGTGTTACTATTTGTTGTCATGATTTTCTACAGTGTGGCTAGAAAGTCCCTTTACACCTGAACTAAATGCATATAACTACGTGAGATTGTGTTGCATTGTTAATATTTGAAACTCATCATTGATAGAGCAATAGTGCTCCTCACGAGAATTTCAACATGATTGCCTTGTGACTGCATGCGGAAAAGAATAAAATCTGTGCATTGGCCATTTGATTGCCTCAGATTTCTGTCCTTGGTGAAGAGCGATGGCGCATACCAGCGACTTCACTGAGGAGCGCTTAGTGAAAAGTGTGTGAATTCTTGAATGGAAGCACGGCAATGAAAATATGACACAGGTGATGGATTGGTTTCATTAACAGTTCGCTAAACAGCCACCAAATCTTCAGACTTCAATCATGGTGGAGAAGAAAGCTCTTTTGTTTGGGAAATAGTTTGGATACTCTCCCCCTGCTCTGGTCATCTATCAACCTGAATAGTTGACTAAGAAAGTGAGCTGCAGAATAAGAATTTAAAAGAAGCACACTGCAGTTCTGCGTAAAAGTGGACTTAGGCCTGCAAGCATTCAGCCAGTGGCCATCAGTGAACTAAAAGACGATGACCTAAACTGCTGGCAGGAAGCATACAAGTTCTTGTTGGAGGCCTTCACCATTCCTGCTCAATGCTTTCTTTTCTTTTATAAATATGCTGTTTATTGGAGTTTGTGTGATAGGAACATCTTCATACAAGCAAAGGAAGACACATATTTTATTTTTAACAAGAAATTGAGAACAATACTCAAATGTATATGACCCTTCCTTGTGGGACTTATTCAGAGTTAACCCGTTCAGTATGGGCGTGTCATATATGCATCAGCAGCAAACATTACCTCACGGCCGGGTGTGTCATATTTGAATTGCCATTTATTTCACTCTATGGCCGGGCATACCACATTTGACTTTTTAGATAGAACATTTAATCAGTACTTTTTATTGTCACTAGATGTAGCTGTATGTCTGTTATGGTGAAATATATATCGAAAGTTTAGTATGTTTACCTTCGTTCCTATGCAATGTTTTTTATTTTTGGTATTTTGTTTTGGAATGAGAGTGAGATTCGTGGGTTGGTGTTGAGCAATGTAATGTCTCTTTAACTGCGTCATTTGATATAAACAAATGTACATGTTCTCGCTGCATTGAGGTACTATTTTTGCGATATGGTGGGATAGCTGTACTATCATTAGAAATTTTTTTTTATTAGTCTTAGATTTTTCTTTTTTTTATTACTCTTAGATTGGGATGAATATTTTGTATCGTCAGCAAAACGTATTTTTTTAAATGGCAAACGAAAGGGGTATCTGAACGTAGATAATACAAAAATGCTAATTCGTTAGTGTTGAGTAATGCAAGGGCTCTTACTGCATCATTTTATATAAACAAATGGACATATTTTTGATGATCTGGAAAACTCTTTAATTTATATGTTTTTCTTATTTTTTATTTTATTCTTTTATCCTCTTATAGTGTAGATGTTCTATCATTAGAGATTTTTTTTACTCTTTCAGTTTCCTAGCACTGAGACGAATATTTTGTATCGCTTAGCGAAAGGTTTTTTTTTTTTTTTTTTTTTTTAAATGGCAAAACGAAAGCATTATCTGACCGTAGAACAACATACACAAATGCTAAATGAGTTAAATTTGCTTAGTAAAATAGCAGCAGATATTGTATTCCTGTAACATACGCAACGTTTGACTTTGCGTACAACCATGTTGCAAAGAATATCATACAGTATCTCTTTTTTGAAATATTGCTTGCACATTGAATTTTCATCAAAGACAGTTTTAATATTTTTAATTTTAATTATGTGTTGTGTTAAATAAAATATGCATTTGTTTGGATATTTTTCCATATACATTTATTTGTGGGATAAGGGGAAAATATTATTCTAGAATGAGTATTTTATAACATTTTTAAGGAAGATATAACAATAAAGCTTTAAAATTAATTCTGACAACTACCTGAATGTTCTCATAATGTACCAAAAATTCGAACAACTGGATGAAAAATTTAATTTCTACGAATGTTTTTCCAAAGTTAGGCTTAGCAGCGTGAATTGACTGTCCCCACAAGACGACGCATCCAGTTAACGCGCCGTTCCAAGACAACGCTTCGGTAACAGAGATGCTCGTCATGAACGGGTTAAATGTAATATTCTGAATTATATTATATATTACACACACACACACATATATATTTAACAAAAGAATTGTATAAATAGGATTTTCAAAATTTATACCTAGTGCAACTGTTGCTACAATAATTAATTAAACTAAATTTAGTAGGCAATTTTGAAATTAAAAATAGGTAAAAAATATAATTAGATGAACTAAAACTGTGAAATAAGTTAACTGACAAGCTTTTGCTGACGGTGAATGTAAACTGTAAATATTAAAATCAGATAATTTGAAAAAAACCTGATTAAAATAAGAAAAAGTGTTACTTTCATGCTTTTTTTTAATAGGTCTGTCTCTGAAACTTTTAGGACGGGATCAGTGAGCAATTGTTTAGCATCTGGTATTCAAAAAATCCATTTCATTGTCCATTGTAAA